TTGACTTGCCACGTGGCTTTTTAGCTGGCGGTGGAGCTGCCGGAGGTGGTACTGGCGGTTGCACGGGAGGCGCCATCTGATGCATGTGCTGTTGTTGTTGCATCATCATCATCTGATGCTGGTGCTGCTCATAGGGGTTCATCGGTTGCCCGGGATACCGTTGTTGTTGTGGCATGGAGCCGGGCGGTGGTTGCTGATGTTGTCCCGGCGGCGGTACCGGCGGACCGCCCATCATTGTGTAGTCTGTCATTTGGCTCATTTGTGGTACATAATCGTCGCCTGGATTACTTAATGACCGTTTTCAAAATGACCGGTTTCGAAGTGTCGCGGTTTCGAAGTGTCGCGGAGCCAAAACGAGATATTCAGACGGTTTTGATACCAAATGATAGATTTCGACAGGGCCCATCACGCTTATAACATTTGAGCCGGATTCCGGGTCGATAACATGCCGAAAAATGCGTTTGAATTACAAAAAATCGTTTTTTTGTCAAGTTGATCGAAAATTGTCATTCAAGTTCAGTTTCCGACATGTTATCGGAATGGAAACCGTCTCAATCAATATAGACGTGATGGGCCCTGTTGAGGTCTTTCATTTGGTACCAAAACCGTCTGAATATTTCGTTTTAGAGACAAGTTATCGGCCTTGCCGCCATCTGGCCGGCCCCGTCAGCTTGCAACTACAATTTAAGTAGTATGTTCGGAGCTTGTAAACTAGAAATCTGCCTCTAAAAATCTACAAAATCTAAGCTCTCTACGATAATCTTAAGCCGAGTTATGGATACAGGGTGGCTGAAAAGTATTGAGACACTTGTTTTTTGTTGTATTTTCAAAAATGGAGTTTCAACAAAAGAACCAGATTTATTTTTTCAACAAATGATAGTAATAGAAAAGATATCAGAGGAGATATTCGAAGTTTGAGCCTTCGGCCTTGATGCACGCCTTCAAACGAGCTGGAACAGAAGCGACGGTGCGCCGGAGGTAGTCATCGTCAAGATCATCCCATGCTTTGAGCAAAGCGGCCTTCAGTGAATCCACATTTGGGTGCGATCGAGCCATCACCTTTTCCTCCAAATATCCCCAAACGGAAAAGTCGAGTGGATTCAGATCGGGCGAGGAAGCGGGCCACATGTCCTTGTCCCAGTAGCCAGGGAAATGAGCGTCGAGAACAGCTTTCGTGGATTTCGAGCCATGGGACGGGGCCCAATCTTGTTGAAGAATGAAGGGTTGCTGGCCAAAGTGGCTAGTGACCCACGGACGTAAAACATCCATCAACACCAACTTTTGGTACACATCCGAGTTGATTTTCACATTTCTATCAATGAAAACCAATGGGACTTTACCTTCCGACGTCAATCCAGCCCACACCATCACTGACTTTGGAAAAAGTCTCTTGTAGGCCAGACGACGTTTTGGGGACTTTGCTTCGTCCTTTGACAACATTGGCGAGCATTCTGTC